TGTGTGTGTGTGTGTGTGAACGTGTCATCTCCTGCGATTGTCTAGACGTCACCACGGGAGTCTTGAAAACTCACCCGCCGTCTCTTGAATCGTATTTCTTTGCGTGTGATGTTGAGGAAAATATGTCCACTGTTTACTTTTTACGGTTTGGGGGTATGCTGTAAATCCCCTATATGTTTTTTTACCCTTTACAGTAACATCAAAGAAACGTGTCAAAACCTACGTTTGAGGTGACCTTAATTATGAATGTGCTTTTAGATTCTGTTGGTCATCCAACTTTCTACTCTCGTATGCAAAGATCGGAAATGATTAAACAGAGCAATAATTTCATTATGGGCCCTAGGCCTACTGTGTTTTAACCGCAGTTAGACCGAAATGAAGGTGTAATCTATGGGACCAAAGAGAAAATGAGAATAATATTCAAGGGCTATTTTCCCTTTGGCCGTCTGTTCTGATCACAGGGACACACCAAAAATAATGATTGCATGCGAAACGCAACAATCACGAATTCCTTTGTCTGATTTAAACTGCTAAAACTGTAGGACCCATTTATAATATATTGAGTGTGTGTCACTGTGTGTAGTCCAGACGTTGAGAGTTGAGACGACCACTGGATCCAGCAACATGAAACGAACTCGCTACTAATCGAGCAAAGTGACTGATGTGGTAAAATTATGTCTTGGGGAGGATTTCCGTACCTAGCGACCGCTATGAGACAGAGTAGAACAGAGGGATAGGGGTAGGGTTTGGGGGTAGGATGGGGGTACCTTGAGTAGGCGTAGGGGTAGGGTTTAGATCTAGAAGTCTAGAGTCTAGATTTAGGTTTGGGGTTTAGGCTTAGGGTTAGGACGGTTAGGTCTCTTTTTTATTGCGTTTCAAGCCGTTTGTTGGGGTGGTCGCTTGTTACGGAAGTCCTTACATGTCATGCAGCTATGACTTCATTTTTCAGAAACGGTACATGCTGAATTTCCATCACTGTTCTCATGTATCATGTTTGGGCGCTTTTTCGGTAGTTCCCACCCCGCAATTGTTATTCGCCGGTTTTGGCCTCAAGAGTGGGGGGTTTCAGGGGGGCTTCCCCTGTACTAATAAAAACGTGGTGGGGGGTTCATGCCCCCCTGAATTTTACCATAATTTGATGTTTTGCAGTTGTTAGGTTTGATATCTTAGCTCGCATCAAATGTATAGATCTCGATGTAGGTCAGGCTCAAAATATAAGGGGGGTGGGAACTACCGAAAAAGCACCCATGTTTGTAGAGCTATAAAATATTGCATTGATTGTCACCACTAGATCTAGATCTAGATTCTAGATTAGATCTAGATCTAGATGTGTAGATCTAAATCTAGATCTAGACTAGTTCTAGGCCCAGGCCTAACCAATATTATCTTATCTTATTATTATTCAGTTATTAATAGATCTAGATCTAAATCTAGATCTAGACCTTTTTGTGTTTAAGGCTTGTCAAGAAAGGTAGAGATGTTTTTAATCTTTGCTTGTCCAAAAAGAAGAAATTCCGTAAAGCCACCTTTATTCTCACCCCGGGTGAGAATAACCATCCATGTCTCACTATTCTCCTCCCCCCCCCGGTGAGAATAGCTCCCATCCCGGTGTGGGCATGAGGCGAGGACTCCCCCCTGATCTCTCACAGGCCAATAAATTCCCCTAGGAGGCCCTTGGTGGCTTACCGCATGTGGTTGGGAACGAATAATAATAACGAAGTGACTATTTCTCCGAACGTTCGGGAACATCAAGCTGAACTCTATTTCTCCGAACGGTTTCCGATCTAGAGATTTTTTGGGTTATTTGGGAGATTTAGGCGTCATCCTTTCATTCTGCCTTTCTGCGAGGGCTGGGAAGGAGCTTTTTTTGCATCAAATTCAATTTCTAGAGCTAGAGATTTTTAAATGTCTGAATATTCGGATCTTCAGTCGTGGTTAGGGCAACGTTCCCGGACATACTTCATTTGAAAATACCTCCAAAAGGCACTGCGAGAAAACAAGACTGCTCGACCTTGGCAGTAACCTATTTTACATTTAGTCACCCAGCAAAATCTAAAATCCTTTCACACCTCACACACACACACACACACACACACACACACACACACACACACACACACACTCTCACACACACACACACACAGGCCACTCCATTTGCTTATCATCAACAAATCTCGAGAGCGGAAACCGTTCGGAGAAATAGAGTTCTAGTGTATTTTCCCGAACGTTCGGAGAAATAGAGCCGGTCTAATAATAATGAAAAAACATTTTTCACTTCTTCGGTAATAAAAAAAAAGACTCACTACCGACGCTACTGAACGGGATGTAGGTCCGACCAGTCATTCGTTGTTTACACACTTAAAACGATGGCAGGCCTCTCACTCTCTCCCTGCACACAATAAATTATCATTTATGCTTGAAGGAACAGAGAGCGTGTACAAATGTAATGAGACACACAAGCACGAGACAATAAATGCTCTTGCACGACGGTAGAAGGGTTGTAAATTTTTCAGACCAAATGGGCGAGGGCGTTAAAATCATGTTAGTTAACTAGTTTAATAATTTAATAATCCTAACTCTTTTCTTCACTTTCATTTTTATTCTTTTATTCTTTCTTTTTCTTATTTTCTTGCCTTTTCTTTCCCCTTCTTCTTGAACATTTGGAGTTTGGAGCCAAAAAAGAGCCAGGGAACCAAATGAAATTCTCCGGGCCAGAAACGATCCAAAAGAGCCAAATTTTTTTCTGGGATTTGGCTCCAAACTGACTACCTTGACTGTGACTATTCGGACACGAACAGTGACGAACATGATGCTGTGGAGCATCAGCCCTGACCCCACCCCCGTCCCCCGGGGTCATGCCTGCTAACCTCAGCCCTGATCCCTCTAGGGTCATTTCCGGTAAAACGAGGGGGTGAGAATAGTGAGACATGGGTTATCACTTCCATTCCGTTACGAGCAACCACTATGAAACAGAGTAGAATAGACTATAGAGGGTAAGGGTTTAGAAAGACAGCGGCTATTCGGACTCAAGTCTGAATAGCGTCCCATGGCTATTCGGACTCAAACTAATGTGTGTGCCGGATGTGAAGCAGACAGGCAATTTGACCTTGGCCTTCCTCGGTTTCTACAATTTATAATCTGGCCAAAATTTTCTAAACAAATTTTAAAAAGTATAATATTATTAGACTATTATTAGTGATGTCAAAATTGGTCGGTTGTTACAGAAGTCTTTCAGTCCAAAAAAGCACTTTCAAATCTCTCTCTAAGTCTAAATCAACAAGAAGACATATATGTCATGACGTTGTGGAATCAGGCGCTCATCAATGTTTTGGCTTATGGAGGTATAAATCTGAAATCCGATTTATTTGCCTTGCTTTCAATGAAAGAAATATCAATCTATCTTGAATAGAACTCAAGATATTTGCGATTGAAGGAAGTTGAGGTCGTGTGATTTCAGTGGTCAAACTGGCGAGAAAATGGCCGCCTAAGTTTAGTAGTTCCACTAGCTAAAGAATCCTTAAAAACAGAAAAATGATATTTTTTTGCTTTTTATCAGTTTTTCAGTAAATTTACTTGGAAATGTGTTTTTATATGGACATAAAAGAGGTTGAGCTAAAAAATAAAAATTCAATGAAAATTTCCATACTGGCGGAAAAATGCCTGTTTCTCCAAATTCTGTATTTTGACAAACGTCTGATTTCCCCACGCTGCTTCATACATAGGCCTATATATGTGAGGTTTTTTAAAAAGGGCTTTCTCAAAACAAGTTAAAAATCCTTATTTGAAAATAGTCACCAGCTTTGTGTGGTAGAACTAGAAAAGCAAACTGCGCACAGGGCTTCAAGGAAGATGCTCTGAGGAGGTGGGATATCAACATTTGAAAAAAGGAAGCTTAGTTTTAGTTATCAGTATCTTTCGAGTCCCTCTACTCTAGTTAACTTGCATTTGTGAAATAAAGGCTTAGGTGTTTACAATTTATTCTTCGTCATCATTGGTCTTCTTTTTTCGTCAGTTTTTACTATTCAAATATCCTGTTTCATCTTGTTTTCAGTGTGTTGGGCCTTGCATTTTGAGCCATGGATCAAGTAGAAATTCAGAAAAAGAAGAAGAAACATAAAAAGAGCAAAAGTAGTCACAGGTATTCAAGTGACTCTGACCATGAGAAAGTCTTTGACGCATTTGACAGTACAGCATCACACAGTTCAGACTATGATTCACATTCCAAAAGTGACAGGAGATCTTCAGACTCCCACAGGAAAAGGAAGCGAAAGCATTCTAGACATGGTGCTGATAGAGATTTCCGTGATGAAGATCCATCAAAACGGTTTAAACATTTGTCTAGTTCTAGTCTGAGTGAAAAGTGTCACCAAAGCCGTAAAGATTTTCATGGGCATAAAAATAAAAAGCATAAAAGAAGACATGAACATGTCAAACACTCCCACAGGCATGTTGATAAAATCTGCAATCAGCAACACATCTCCAGTGCTGACTTGTCTAATGATGACTCATCAAGTGACTCTTCAGTACCTCAAAGGTCTCCAGAACCTGTTAAGTACCCAGAAGAATCACAAGTTGTTACCAAGAAAGACACAAAGTCCTCCCCACCTGCTCCTACTCCTAGTGTCTTTCCCAAGCAACCTCCAAAGCCTCCAGTCAGGGAAACTCTGGACTACAACTTTGACTTCCTGAAGTATAAGACTTCTTTAGGCAAGATATTTTTCAGGGATAGCACCTTTTCAAACATAACTCAGAGGTAAGTCCTGACACTTGTAATTTTGGGCTTTTTATCCTACCATGTTATAAAAAGACTTTTGTATTACTGTCCCCAAAAATGTATGTTATGATATCTTTATAGGTAAGATAGAATTTAACTTGAACTGCCTTTAGCCCAAAATTATTCAAAGGAGTTTTCGGAAACATTTATTCGGTATCGTTAAAATAGGTTTGTCCTCCAAATCCTTAGAAGCAGTGTTCTTGAACTAACCCTTTTAGCCCTGTTCCCCCTGAGTCCACAGGACCTGTTTACCTGAGCTTTCAAGGTAACTGTTATAATTGCACCATCACATGCTGAGGTGTGTGAGTTCAGTGCACACAAGGATAAAGGAAGCACATGGTCAGACCTGTGCTCGGGTCGGCAGGGTTAATTATCTTCATAAGTTGTGGAAATGAAAGTAAGGGGTGTTCTCTGCTGTGGTATTTCACTTTTGTTAGCAGTTATTTTCCCATGATTTAAGATGCATTAAAATACAACTCGAAATGAAAATAGTAATGTTTCCAATGATTATAAGATACTTTTGGGTTTTAAACTTTTATCATTTTTCTCTATTATTTGTCTACTACTTAAAAAAACAACTTTTGTTAGAGTGTTATGTTTGTTTGATATTCTATATTTTATGGTTTTTATTTTGTTGTGTTTATATTTACAGGAATATATTTTTTCCCCATGCATTTATGTATTCTAATTGGTTATCATTATAAATTGTCATAGAGGCAGCAAGGAACATGATGACTTTTGGGCTTTTGTCAAGCGATACCTGGACTTTCAGAGGAAGAAAGCAGAAAAAGGAAAAGGTATGAAGTTTTTAGAATTACACTTTTCCAGAGGTTAAAAAAAAGGGTATTCATGTAATCGTACTGTGCTTTCTGATTCATTGACTTCAGTCATATGTTATCATTACAATAGTTAATGATTCCATACTTAATATGGATGTGATGTATTGATGGTTCAGTACTTTCTCAGGTGCTTCACTTTGGTAAGCGTCTTTGCTGTCTGCTGGGGTCAGTTGGAGATTTGATTTTATAGGAAATATTAAAAGATGCTTTGGATCTGTTGATAGTTGACTGATTCAATATTTACACTTATCTGGTGTCATGACTTGGTCACACTGGTGATGTCACTTGTTGCGATGCTCTTGGACAGATCAAATATGTTGGTAGCTTCTGTGACAGTCCTGAAAACTGAAACAAGCACATTTTTCCATGATTGAAATTTAAGAAGCAATTACTTGTACTTTTAAAATCTTGATTTGTCTTTTCTCTGACTCTTGATTATTCACTGATGTATAGGAGGATTTAAAAAAAAAGATTCTGACTTGCGTCTCTAAGAGACCAATTGACATTCCTTTTCATTGATTAGATGATAAAGCAAAAGCATCAGCAAAAAGCAGAGGTCAGATGAATCTCCCTCAAAACTACGATGTCCAGTACAAGATCAACATATCATTCGTCTGCCGAGACTTTGATGTTTTCCTCAAGAAAAACCGCCTTGTTGGTGAGTTCAAGTCATGAGTTTTACAATTGGCACAGTACTTATCTTTGAACTCTTTGTATTCGATATACCTATTGCCAGTATAAAAAAATTCTCAGGTGTATTTGGATTTGCTTGAATTACTAATGATGAAAGTATACTTTTTAAAATCCTTGAAGAAGCTATTTTTATTCTTTTAAATAATCTGAAGAGTTGTTTACTCTTTGAGGGTCTATTTTTTAAATTGAAAGCTGAGCTATTTTCCAAGGACAGAATCATCATGGTTTGAAGCGACGCTTATCTTTAATCCCTCCCAGCTGTCATACTGTTCTGATTACAATGTTTGGTTACAATAAGTCCTCGGCCTCTGCTTCATTTGGTATACATAATCTAGGAACTGAATAATTGTTCTTCTTGTCAGTAGTAATATTTCCTTTTGTCCATAAAAGTGTGTGTTGTTTTTAGGGTTTGTTTCCCTTTTTCCAACTTTTTTGCATGTTCTGCCAATCTCTTTTTAGAAGTACTCTTTCTACTTTTTTATGTGGGGTAGAAACTGTGGAAAGGCTCAGTCAGTGTGCAGCTGTGTATTTCTTTGTGATATTGTTACAGTCATGAATTCTTTTTGAATGGACAAGGACACCGAAATCTTATGTTTGTATCCTCAACTGTCTCGGGGAATTTTGTTGGAATAAAATATTTTATGACACTGTTATTTATTTCAGAGAAGCTACCATTATTTTTGTTACTTTTTAAATTCGTACGTCCATCTATCCTCATTGTCATAGATTACCAGACAGAGAAGGAACTGACCAGGGACAGAGTGGCACAATTCAGATCGATCCTTATACATTATTTGGATTTTCAGCAAAAACAAAAGGTAAAGGGGATCAGGTATGACATAGGGTTGACTGCCCTATTGTCTTGAGAATACAAAAAACATTTGAATGCAATATCACATCTGAAAGATTTACTTTTAAAGTGTAGAAGACGAGTTTAATTTTGTCTTAGTTTAGGTAGTCTTGTGAGCCAAAATTTATTACTTTGTTTTAAAAAGCATGTGCCAATTTTATTTTGGTGCAAAATGTTTTCTCTCGACATATTTATTTTAAAAATTTCATGTACCCTAACTTATTTTTAGAATTAGCTGAAAGACATATCATTGTTGCCAAAAAAAAAGGCTCAAATGTTTTGCACTCACAGTTTAAAACAGTCAAATGGTGATACCTTTTAAAATTTTTGAGACAGGGACGATATTGTCTTAGACCATTGGGATCACCCAACATAATTTGAAAGTTTCTATGTACCATTTTGTCTAATTATTTACTCACATCTCTATTAAAGAATACAGCTGAGATCTCAGACTGTGTGTCCATAGTTAAGACTTTGAACGAGCTACTAAACTTGATGAAATCTTCAGTTTCAGAAACTGCACAAAATCCGCCTTGACCAACGCAATCTGCCTATTTACCAGTTCAAGAGAAAGATCTTGGATTTAGTGAAGAAACATCAGGTGGTAGTGGTGGCAGGTGACACAGGTTGTGGGAAATCTACTCAAGTAAGAAGTTAAATGTTACATGGCATTAGTTCATCAAAACGATCATCACAGTTGTGTTGCATTATAAGACAATATTTAATTTTGTTGTCAATTTCCTTAGCTTGTGTCTAGCTTTTTGCTTTTTATAAATACATATTTCATGTTTTTCTTTACATGAAAATAACTCATTGGGGTATCTTTAAAAGATATTTCCTAATTCAAGAGAAATGACCTTTGATTGGAACAAAGTTTGCCATATATGTAACCAAGGAAACCCAATGAATATTTTTGGAGTAACACAAATGTGAAATGAATTTTTTCTATTTTCAATCTTGCTGCAGCTGAAAAGATAAATGAGTATTCCACCTATGAGCACTTTGTTTGTCCAATGAATTGTAGCTTATGATTTGAGCCCGTCAGACTTGCAAAAGGAATCTTAGTAGCTTAAAAAAGGATTTCCAGTGTGCAAAGAAAAAGTATATGAAGTCTTGAAACAGTGTCTTATCTCTTTCCTTACTCTTTGTGGTCTTTCTGTCTAGGTTCCTCAGTACTTACTGGAAGCTGGGTTTGAGAAAATAGCTTGTACACAGCCAAGGAGGATTGCGTGTATTTCCCTTTCTAAGAGAGTCGGATATGAAACACTCAATGAGTATGGCTCTCAAGTTGCCTATCAGGTAAGCAAATTTAGAATAGGTGATTTAACTCTTTGAGTATATGGAAGTTTATTCTGTGATTATAAGCTACCAATTTTGTCGTCTTAGTTTTTTTCAGCTGATTTTCCATTACAGACTAAGCTCTTATTCAATTTATTTGCTTAGAATAAAAGCCAATCTGAGTAGAAATGAATGCTTCGTACAATAAATTAAATATGAAGTTCAATAATTGGAATATTTTATTATTGTTTTGGCTGTAGACAATGAAGTGATGCCTCACACCAGTTCAGATGACATAGTGGGTAGATAGTACTGACTGATGCCAGCTGAATACTAAAAGCTTTGTAAAAAGATGACAGGTTAGCTTTGGGAAGTCATGCTACCTAGTGCACACTCTCCAAAATAAAATGAGCTTGAATATGTTTTAGCCATCACATGGCGTGGTCTGCTCAAGGAATGGCCCTCAATCATTACGTATCTCTAAGAATCTCTTAACAATAGCCGTGGTCAAAGTGCACAGAAGTAGCACAATGATTTAATTAATTCGCTAAGTGCTTTGATATGCTGTGTTTATAACAGATTGACTGCTCAGTGTATAACTTTGTCATACATCGCTTTTCAAAATGGTGTAATTAGAAGTCTTACACTAAGTAATCAAAATGCTGTAAAACATATTTTGGTTTCATTTTCATTTGTGAAAAAATTTATTCTCTCATTTTTTTCTTTTTTTCTTTTTTTGTTTAGGCAAAGTTTGGAGGGCTTTTTGTGTTTTTTGTTTTCTGCAGCATGCTTTTTTTTGTCTTCTATACCGTGCTTATGAGTTTCTGGATGATATTTGTGAAAGTGATAGACCTGTTGTTTTAAAAATTGTTAAAAGTAAATATGTTTTCGATTTTTTTCAGGTGCGCTTTGAAAAGAGCAAGACAGCATCAACCAAAATATTGTTTCTCACTGAAGGTACTGGATAATTGCTGTAAAGCATAGATAGCTTCATTATCAATAGCAGTGACTTTATTTTCATAGTAAATGAATGGAACATTAAAGAAATAGTATTCTTGAAAAGTCTTTTAGTATAACATGTATGTTGGGTAGGAGCAAATTGAAGTTGCACTTTGTGAGGAAAATGACTAGTGGAATGATGTCACCATCATAAAAAACAAACAAAAAACCAAACATAATTCTGGTTAAACCGTACATGCATAGTGGGTCTAGGAATTTTGTCCTTTAGATAATTTGTTACTAGCAAATTTCCTGCTTTTCTTAGTCTTCCTTGTGCCAGATTCAACTTTTCTACATGCTGCAGCTTTTGGCTTCTGATGTTTCAAGTTTTAGAGATTGCTAATTTGGCTGAAATATGTTTATGAATGTATTTGACTGTTTCTTTATTTCTTTGCCTTGCCAAACTGAAGTTGTAAGTATATGAGAAGTTCAGTTGTTTCTATTAAAGCTGAGTTAGGTGTTGATAGTAGACAGTTGCTTTTTGTCTACATCAAGGAATGATATCTATCTCTATATGTGTCACGACGTGGTGGAATCAGGCGCTCGTCAATTTGGGGTCATGTGAAGGTATTGGTATCACTGTAAAGCTTGTACAAATGTACATGCCTTGCTTTCGATGAATAAAATACTCATTTATCTTGAGTACAAGTTGAAATATTTGCGATTGAAGGAGGTGGGGGTCGCTTGGTTTCAGAGGTAAAATTACTGAGAAAATGGCCGCCAAAATATGCTTATTTACATAGCCCGAGAGTCTGTGGTAATGGACAATTTACATTTTTTTGTGCCTTTAGTCTACGTTTTTCAGTAAAACCCACACATAAATAGGTGTTTTAACGGACATAAAAGGAGCTGAGCCAAAAAACAAATTTTAGATAAAAATTGCTAAACTGGCGGAAAACTTCCAATTTCTTCAATTTCATTATTTTGACGAGCGTCTGATTTCACTACGCTGTCTCACATATATTATTTGAAAATATTAATTCGCTTATTTGTTTGTCACAGGTCTGCTTCTCCGTCAGATGAGTTCAGATCCTCTTCTAGAGATGTACAGCGTTGTTGTCATTGATGAGGTATTTGAAATTTGAATCTCTTTTAAATACTATTTTGTTTGCCAATATCAATTTTAAAGATGGTATTAACCAGTTAGGTTAGTAGCCTGATAATGTTCATTGTGAAATGAATGTGTGGTCACCACTTTTGGACTGGAGAATTAAAATGATAAATAATGTGTCTTTTTCTTATGAGTCTTAAGAAGCTGTATCTAGCAACAGGGAGACATAGCAGGAAATGAAAGGGAAGCACTTATCAGCTCTGTTTCCATCATCACAGTATAAAATCATGTAGATTTTTCTAGTCTTTGAACTTATGTAAAAAAGTTGTGAGTTCCTTTCCTGGCTCTGTTGGAAAGGACACAGTAACTACAGCAAAGTTGTTGGGTTTTTTTGTCCCGTATTTTCCTCCTTTCACTAAGCTACAAATGGATAACTGTCAACTAGCAGAAGCAGAATGTAAAAATGGTAGCACTATGCACCTAACATTTTGCGATCACTGAGGACTGAAGCTTGGAATTAACAGGTCTTTCAAGGGACTTTTTATGAAGTCATGTGAGCTTTCAGCGATTTTTTAAATTGCATGTTTCATTTGGACTGTTATGTCATCTCCTTTTTTAAAATTCAGATCTAATGTCGAGGTTGCTTGAAGCAACTGGGAAAACTAATTGTCAGTGGTACTTATAGAATGGACTTCAATGTTACTTCAATTGTTTTCAGTGTGATGATTGAAAACCCCCCCCAAAAACTGAGACAGAGGAATTTGATGAAATGTTTTTTTATGAATGAGGTTACTTTTCTTTCTCTGTTGACAGGTCCATGAGAGGCACATCTACACTGACTTTTTGTTGGGCGTTCTGAAGTGTGTCCTCAAACAGCGGGCAGACCTGAAGCTGGTCCTCATGTCTGCCACCATCAACATCAGCCTCTTCTCTCAATACTTCAACGATGCTCCTGTACTCAAGGTCTGTAAATTGTGTCATGTTTTATAAGACTTTAAAATGGCGTACTGTCTTTCAGCTGCATTTTTTTGGTTTTGAGGTCTCTCTTTTCTTTGAGCTGACTTTTTTAGGGATATAATGAATTCTGCCACAGTATGCCGAAGGCCCAGAAAGTTGTCTCACTAACAAGGCTTTACTCTACTTTTATACTGAATTCTCCAGCTCGTTTAACAGTTACCCTTTTCCATTCCTGCTTGCCTTAGTTCTCTTGTGTGGACCATTTTTTTGCTGTAGGCCTACAGAAGTTAAATTTTGGGTCAATTAAAAAGAAATAATGAATATGAAATACATCCCTTTTCATGAATGTTCAGGCTGCAAAATGGGCTTCTTTGCTCGTAGGAATTTTGGGAAGACACAGGTAAAGAGGAAATTGATTTTCATTTTGGCCATTATTTTCTTTTAGAATGAGGGTACTCATTTATGTCTCGATTGCCACCGATGCGACCGTCCCCGCCATTTTAACAACACTTGGAAGCAGAAGGAAATGATCCGTGAGGTCACGCATGTGTAAAGCAGAATGTTTTCATGGTCGTCCTAGACTGGGTGTCTCCGTGGACCAGGATCCTGGTCTCGGGAGACCCCTCCCTCTCTTTATGTTTTTCCTCATTTTTCTCCAATTCTGCATCCTTTTGAATCATATCATTGCTCTGAGTTTGATAAATTATTCAATTAATTTTATCTCAGGTATTGATTTTGTCTTTGAATTTGTGTGTTAGATTTATATATTCTAAATGTTTCTCCCTTTTCAAAAATAGCTGAGCTGCTTTGTATGTATTTGTTTGCCGCATCCACTGTTAACTGTAAACTCTTTCCTCTACCTTCCCTGTCCACGGTTCATTTCAGAGACTTCTTCAGAGCATCTTTATTTTTTCAATAACTCTTCTTTCTCTTTGAACAGCTTGTATCTGTTTTTCTTTTTTTTCCCCACAATATTTCAAAGTTTTAACAATTTTTATTTTGTTTTTTTCTCATTATTTAGGTCCCAGGTCGTCTTTATCCAATAGAAATGGAATATTGCCCAATCAAGCAAAGTGATGTCACTGAATCCCGCCGATTAGATCCCACACCTTATTTGCGCATCATGCAGAGAATTGATCACAAGGTTTCTGATTTTGTTTGGAATTTCTATTATTAACGACTACAGGTCCAGTATTGTTTAGAAGTTAAGTGTGTCACAACTACAAAATGTCTGTTGTCTTTGTGTAATGTCTTTGTACAGTTGGTTACATGTCCATGAATTGAGCATAATTTGTATGTGTTGCTTCCCTGCAGGCTGTTTTGATTTTTGAAATGAAAATTATAATTTTGAGCTGTTAGTGGGTGAGGGGGTAATATATTAGCATTTTAGTCTTTCACTTGGTACTGGTGAGGTGTAGTTGTTATTGTGTGACTCATGTTTCCCACAACTATCATTATGTCCACAGTACCCGGCCGGTGAAAGAGGAGATTTGCTCATATTTCTCAGTGGTATGTCAGAGATCATGGCTGTGGTAGAGGCGGCTCGGGCGTATGCTCAACAAATGAAGCGCTGGATTGTTCTTCCCCTGCACAGTGCTTTGTCTGTGGAAGAGCAGGATAAAGTGTTTGACATTGCCCCTGATGGTGTGCGCAAGTGTATAGTCTCTACAAACATTGCTGAGACCTCTGTCACTATAGATGGGGTGCGCTTCATCGTCGATTCTGGGAAGGTAATGTCAATGAAAGCTGAAAGGGCATAATTTTTTATGTTTGTTATGTTTAATTTTAAACTTCCTATTGATTTTAGTTTTTTGGGGTTGTTTTTTTTTAGATGTTGCTATGCATTAGCACAAGATTTGGTTTAGCTTTTGACCTTACTGTTATATTCATTATTTACCTGTGACTTTTAAACATTGTGTAGTATGTTTCTTGCAAAGGCATTTTTTAAAAACGTTTTCTTCTCTACATCAGTTCTATATACCAATATTTTGCAGTAATATCTGCTTTCAATTTAAATGATGATTTTTCAGTCCTGTATGTGACATATAATAGAATGAAGCTAGAACCCATCTGCTGGGACATTTCAGTAACCCACTTTCAGCACTTTTTAAGGACCCCCGGGCGAGTACTGTCGGCATCGCTGACCGTTTATGAAGCCACAGCACCAGAAGAGAGAGAGAGAGAGAGAGAGAATGAAGCTAAGGGTACAAATCAATACAACATATTGTAAGGAAGATTTTGGTTCCACAACTCTGCCTGGAATTTTGTTATTTCAACAGGAGCTGTTATAAAAGAGTTATCCTAAAATGACAATGGATAGGTAAATTTCCATCTGTACAAAGGAAATCTCAAATGTCATGAGAGAAAACTGTTGATGAATAGTTTTTATTTTTCTGTTGTCCATCTTCAGGTAAAAGAAATGAGCTTTGACCCAAAGTACAAAATGCGGAGACTCCAAGAGTTTTGGATTAGTCGTGCTAGCTCTGAGCAGAGGAAGGGCAGAGCAGGTAGAGTTTGCTTCTTTTTGTCTTTTGTTACATGTGGTCCTAAATGTTCTGTTAAATACCGGCAACTATTTTCTCACTTTTGTGTTGGATTTTGTACAATGTTATTGACATTCTTGTGACCCTATTACCACAACTTATCAAAGCCCTTAACCGTCATTTTGATTCTTTGAGTTTTGAGAATACTGACTTTCTTTTTTATGTGTTTGTATTCTTTCAACTGTGTAGGCTCATTCTTGATTTTTTACTTGTCCCGAAAATTTGAATTTTAGGAATTTTTTATAAGAAAGGCTTGCAATACTGTGAAACAAAATATCCTCCAAAAGTACTCTTGGAATTGTCCCCTTTTAAGATAGGTAACAGTCGCCCCAGTAGCATTACTACATTTTTATATTTTAAGACCTGTTATGTTCTTTCTGTAGGTCGTACAGGTCCAGGGGTGTGCTATCGCCTCTATGACGAGTCTGACTACGATGCTTTCCAGGACTACTCCACGCCAGAGTTACAGAGGGTTCCACTTGATTCTCTGATCCTGCAAATGATTTCAATGGGCCTACCTAATGCCAGGAAGTGAGGCTAAGTTGATATTGATACATAATGGTGATATAGGCACTATGTGTGTTTTCTCAGTGCTCTCTTACCTGGAAGAATTTTGTGTAAGGTTGTGCTTTAGAATTGAGCTTTGAGGCTTGAGCTCCTGAGAATGAAAGCTTTTGACCACTGAATGTTCCCTGTCTATTACTTTTGTTTGTTGTTTTGCTTTTCCAGATGCTGTTTGGCTCTTATTTTATCAACAGGTTTCTGCAATTCTAAAAGGGTAACAAAAGCTTTTCTCCAAATAAGAAATTTTCAAACAAAATAATTTGAATTCTCCTCTAAAAATGCACATGGTCACTTTAGCAAAAGAACCTTTGCCTTGATGAAAGCTTAGTCAGCAACAAATTAATCTGATACTGTCAACATTTTTGTACACTAATGCAAAATTCATTTCACTTTCAGATTTCCGTTTATTGAACCACCAGCTGAATCAAGCCTAGAGAACTCCATTGTTTTTCTGAAGGAACAAGGAGCCCTTGCATCAGATGAGAGCCTGACCCCTATTGGGCAAATGTTGTCTATGCTTCCTGTTGATGTGGTCATTGGCAAAATGCTTATCATGGGATCCGTTTTCAATGTAAATGTTTATTTCTCTTTCCGTTGCCAATGGTTTTCAGGTTGGATTTACTATTAATCTTAGGAAAGAAATAAGTTATTCTTTATGATGTATTAAGGATTTTCTTGACTATCACTGTTTGCAGGTGCACTGGAACTTCATTGACATTTTAAATTCATTTTTCATGTATGTGTTTCTTTGCAAATCTATTAGAAAGGAAGTATTATACAGCATACTGAGTGATAGGTTTTCAGTTTCAACAGTGCATATTTGCACAGTCTCAAGACTCTAAATCTCATAATCAAAGTTTTATGTTTTTAAGCACATTTTTGTGGGAATGACATCTGTCTAATGGACATTAAGATATTGGATGAGAGACAATATATGATGAGTTTTCATTCCATTTATTGTCTTTACATTATTTACCTTCTTGCAGAGAAATGCTTTTGAAAACGAGTATTGTTCACACCTATTGCTCATCCATCCAATTTAGAGAATTTGATCTGTCAAGTGTTTTCTGTTTGTTTTGCCAGATTTATATACTTCTCTTTTTTACGAAGCAGTCACTGATTGCCATGTCTTTGATTCATATGCAGATGATTGACCCAGTCCTGTCTATCACAGCAGCCATGAGTGTTCAGTCGCCTTTCACCAACAGAGCTTATACTGACCATGAAGCAATTGTAAGTTGCAGGAGGAGCAGCTTCGGGTATTGTCACCACAGCCTATTTTATAGATTAAAATGTGGGTGGTTGGCGGGTGCTCTGGTGTGGTTTGCTTCTTCTTTCCTATCAAACATCTATCGTCCTTGTCTCTCCCCCTCCTTCTTTTTTATGTTTGTTACTCTCTTGTAACACCTCTAATCTTCGGCACTTATATGACCTTATTGTGTTGCAAGTGCCGTAAAACTCTTACTAAAACTAAACTAAAACATAGATTAAAATAGAAGTGTCTTCTTCTTTCCTCAACATTGTGCGAAAGCTTTGTGTTATATGCTGTGATGAACTCAGGTGTAACACCAGCCTTAAAGGTTTTTAAATGTATGGTATTTCATTACTAGAATTAAGTTTCCTGTTCTTTGTCATTAATAATCAGAAACTAGTTCTTTAAATGTAAAATCTTGTTCAAGGTATAAAAGTGGTTTAGAAACTGATGTGTACTCTTTTAAATGTATGGTTTTGTTGATGATTGGGTGGCCTAGTCATTGACAATGAATATTCAATTATGCAATATTTTGATTTCCAGACTGCAAGAAAACCTCTGGAGTCAGAGCATGGGGACCCTTTCACCCTTCTAAATGCCTTTGATGAGTGGATTCAGGTAGGTCAACTTTCCCAGTTATGGTTTCTAAATATCTTAAGTAATGAAAGTACCCAAGAGCAGGTATGTTATGCCAGATATGGAGGCAGGACAAAAGTATATGATTTGGTTGTGAGTTGGGTTCTGATTTCAGCTAATTTCACATTTTGTGGAAGAATGAATTTATATACAATATCAACGCTCTTTACTAGGTAAATTTTCTGTGTAGCCTTTTGTAAACACAATATTTGACATTTTTAAAATATGAACTTCCACAACAACTATTTCGTATCATTGTGACCCACGCAGATTTCTTTATAATATATTTCAATAGTGAAAAAAACCCCTGTGGTATTGTTATATGTGATTTATATTTTGTTGTGTAGGTTAAAGCTCAAGGCCAAGGGACACGGAAATGGTCTCGACGCAGAGGCCTAGAGGAGCAACGGTTTTATGAGATGACAAAACTGAAGCGACAATTCAAAGATTTGCTCAGGGTTTGTTATAGTTGTAAAATTTAGCTTATCACAGACAGAATTTTGAGATCTGTTTTTGTCATTACTGTTTGCATTTTGGACAAAATTTTTTTATCTATAGTCTAATTTGTGTGTTGTACGACTGTTTAGCTTTTCTGCCTATCTAAGATTTATTAGGACATGAATGCTCTAGCTAATGATTCTTCCATAAATCATTTTATATAACATGGTGTTTTTAGCTTTCAACATTCTGACTTGAATTCACTTTGCAATAGATGAGTTTATGTGTTGAAGGATACTCTGGTGTGGTTAGCTCCTTTTTTTAAAATAGCTCTTCCACCGTTCTTATCTACTTCCTGGAGAAATGTTACTGACCTGCCAAAAATTACCGGAGTATCCACTTTGAGGCTCTCTCACACACACAACTTCTAAAATTCAGAAACTTTTTCGTTTTGAAATTAATTGTTTCTCCCAAATTTCAAATGGGTACTGGCTTACATGATGATGTATTCTCTTTCAGTACAGGACCTGAGAATGACATACTCACCACTAAATTGGTCATGAAATCAAAACTATTGCACTCATTTTGATAATTCTTTTTGCTCAATGCAGGGAAATAAAGTCAACATACCACCATTATTGTTCGTACAAATTTTCTTGTGTGTGTAGACAATAACATGCGATGTACCAGAGGAATGGAAATGCAAGAAATTTGACTGAGCTGCTGATAGCGGCTCACCAGCGTAATGGGTCTGACAGCAGCTTGCTTGACATAAAGAGTTAAAGACTTTGTAGGAGGCAAATGATGGAGAGCACCTCTTGGAGGTCCTGCTCTTTTGTATTCCCGTTATGATTTTTGTGGATTGTTTTGTTTTTTCTCAGTGCTACTTATCTAATTGTGTCGATGAGCTTCTTGTTAACTCAAGCAAAAACTTATATCTTTTCCAATGTTTTCCCAAGGATCACCATTTGCTGGATGGAGGGGAAGAGCGACAACATTACTTGACCAGTGAGCAGCGGAGAGCTCAGCATGGGGAAAGAAAGAGGCTGGGAGAACTGAAGAAGGAAAAGATGAGAGAGAGGAAGCGACGAAAAGTGCTCACTTTGGAAGATGAGGTTTCGTTTTTGTTTATCTCCTATTATTCTGCTTCTGTAGTTAAACTGTGCCTTTGTAAAAGGACTTATGAGGAGTTGATCTTTTATTCAGATTATATTTCAAAAGGAAAGTATTAAATTTGAAATTTTCCTAGAGCAATCGGCTTGGACAGCCTATCTCCTTTTTTCTTTCAACTGTCTAATTTGTGCAATGTACCCACACTACTTCTGAAGTTTACACACCTATCTGAACAGACAAAAAATAAAGTTATCATCATTGCGTGCCTATGATAGTCCTACATCTGACCTCATTTTTTACTGCAACATTTTCAGGATTACCAAGTCAGCGATGGGGAGGAGGATGGGAAAGAAGGAAATGACATCAAAGACTTGGAGTTTCGATTGTCCAATGACCTCAACCAACTGCAGGTTTGTGTTGTATTGTCTTACAATGGAGAGAAAGAGGAAAAAACCTCAAGAGTGGGAGTCCTTAAGGGCCCAACATGGATTGAAATACTCACTGAGGTATGTAAGAAATAAGATAGAGAGGAAAAATACATTTGTGAAAGAGACTCAGAGGCTTAAGGGACTATGCTGGGATAGCTTAATTTATTACTGGAAAGGTCTTGTGTAGAACTCTTAGTGCGTGAGAGAAAAGACTGGCATGTATGTGTGTCTAAGATGAAGTTTTAATTGTTTCAGATTGTTGATGTATGTCACTAATCTTGTATGTGCGTTGTTCCTTCCTGTTCTATGATGTGGGCTTCACCTTGCGGCAATGATTAGTTTTTATTAATTTTGCTATACAAATGTCACCTTTTTCCTTCAACAGGAGACATCTAACCGTAGCCGCAGCTTTACCTTGCGTGACGTCAACCTTATGAAGATAATTTTGTGCAGTGGAATCTACCCTCAGGTGGCCATAGCCGACGACTGCAATACATACAAGCGAGACTCAGAGCAGGCTTTTCACACTAAGGTGTGGCTTGTGTAAATCTTGTTCAATGGCTTTCCAATTATTTTTCTTTGTTCTTTAGAAAATTATTTTGAATAATGCTGTCTCTGATCAAAGTTTGTCTATGAATTGAGTGAATTTGAAAAAAGAAAATCACAAAATTATAGTCAAAGATGGATTACAAGGGATTATAATTGTTGACAGTTATTCATACTGTATTTTCCTCTCTAGTTTGCTTCTGACTGAGAGCAGAATCCTTTTTATATGCCCAGCTCCACAGATACAGCATGTTGCTAATGACTGAACTACAAGGAGGCAACACCTTTGTTATATGAAGTTTAAATGGTGAAATTTATTCTAAAAGTTATTGTCTTAGTTTGATGTCTTAAAAGTTAAGTCATTCAGTTTTGTTTGAACACCAAAAATTCATTTTGCTTTTTGCAGGAATTTAAAGTTGTGATTTTTTTTCCAGAGCAAGCCATTTATTTTGCTGCACCCAACAAGTATCTTCACTGGCCAGCCAGAGCTGCTGATCCCCAAAGACTCCAGTGGAAAGGTTCCTGCACCCAGTGACTTGAAGAACCTGCTCAGCTCTAAGCATGAACTTCTTTCCTACGTGTGAGTCTGGCCTTTATGTTCACTTTTCAGTTTTAAGTTCTAAGTTTTTGTTGGCAGTTCAGCATCTACTTTGTGTGTACCTTTGATTTAGAGCCGTGTTATAATAGTTTGAGGTCATTTTATGTTCTTTGTTGGTGTATAAAAAATGTGTAGAAACTTTATCAGACGGAAAAAGGTAGCTGTGGTAAACTACATATGGACGCTGCATTAACACACCTATTCGTTTAATAATTTGTGTTTGGCTTTTTGATAATTACGCTATACTAACAAAATGAGGTTGGTGATTTTTAGGTCAAGCTTAAAATATAGTTTTCCAGACTCTGCCTTATGCCTCCGTTCAGTATGTAACCTTCTCATTGTCTTGCTTTTCTTTGAAAAATGTCAGGTCCCTTCTGGAGACAAACAACAAGCCATACTTGGTCAACTTGATGAGAGTGCCTGCTCTTCAGACCATCACCTTGTTCTCTAACAGCATAGACACCAATGCAGATTGTACCAGGTAACTGATTGAACTTGCCTATATTTCTGACCACATTGTGATCTCCAGGCTGTTTGGGAAAGAAGGTTTTAAAGATAAAATGGTCACAGGAAAGTATTTTCCAAATTTTTAAGGCTTTGCTTCTTGGGCTTTTGATATAAATTTCCAGACTAGCAATGTCTGTCCTAAGGTTACTGAGCGTGCTTCCTGGGCTGTTCAAGGGTGCAATTTTTATGTGAAAGACTGACTTGATTACTAATATGAATCTGAAAACATTGACTGATTTTTTAAATCAGGTTAATATGTGACGAGTGGATGGAGGTCAAGTTTCCCAGTCTGGAGAGTGCAGAGCTTGTGGTCTCCTCTATCATGCAGCTTCGTTCTACCTGGACTTCACTGCTCAAAGTCCGACTGCAAGGTAGGGTGGTGGGTTTTATTGTAAATGTTTGGCATATCCGTTCAACGCTATTTAAGACACTCTACTCTGCAAAAAGTGTGTAAATTTGATAATAATGTCTTCCCCCATGAGAGCCAGACTTGGGTTATTTGCATGCAAGGAAAAGAACCTAATATACTATTTCTATACAGATACTGGTGTAATAAGTTCAACTTGAAGTTGAAACTATTCGACGCCATGTTGGTTTTAGTTATGTGTGATTGTTTCTATACAGAGCCCAGATAATGAGTTCAAAGATCATGGTTTTCCAACAGGTTGTTCTTCTCTTTTGTGCAAAGGACAGTGACACACATATATTGGAGGGGGCTCTCGTGGCCTAGAGGTTAAGGTGTTGGCCTCTCATTCAAAAGGTCCCGGGTTCGAATCCGGGTAGCGACCAAAAAATTTTCTTCTCTAAAATTGTCTCCTTTCACCTCCTTTCCTGCTCTCTAGCAATGTTCTGTTGTCTGCTTTCATTTCCACTTTCTGCCCCCCACCCCCTCACCTCCCTTGCCCCCTCCTCTGGGCTCCTGACTCTTTCTGCTGCATTTCTACTGTTACTCCTTGGCTCCTCCTTACTGCTGTCTTTCTGCCACACCCCTGATCTTCTGGTAGGAAAGATCTACATCTAGCCTTCTCGGACAAGGGCGAAAAATCTCGGAGGGCCTGTGTGCAAGTTGCGCACGTTAAAGATCCCTTGGTGGTCTAAAATCGATAAGAGTAGGCTTCAGCCGCCACCCGGGCAAAATTCAAAATTTCCTACCAACTGAAAATATTAGGTGTGTCCCGCGCGCTCATATGACCTTATGCAGTTGCGAGCGCCGTAAAACACTTTACAAAAACAACAAAAACATATATTGGCTGACAATTACTTGAAATATTTTTAACATAATATTTACTTGCTATATTAGTGACCCTTTCAATCGCAGATTTTAGCTGAAAGAAGATATGTACCGAAAGGACTTCTCTTTGACTGAAAAAAATTTAACTGTTGTTGCTGTGATGTTGACTTGCTGTAAACCCCAACTCAGTAGCAACAGGAGCTCTTCCTTGTGTCCTCTTTTCCAAAAACCTTGACTCCATAACATGGTTTTGTCCATTTGTTAATTGGGGGTTGTCCATGTCCATCTGTAACTGTAGAAATGAGCCTATCTTACCTTCTTTTATACTTTGATTTATCTTATTTACTGCACCCTGAGCACATACATACATAAAACTTTTGCCTTGTATAATGTTACGTTTTTCAAGTAAACGTTAATTGTATTGTTGTAATCAAGTGGCCTGTCGAGAAGCTGTGTAGTACAGTTTTAAAAGAGAAAAGTGGAGTTAATATATTATTTTAAGCTTTTGTTGTAGTTGTCTGTGCTTGGCTTAAGATTGGTACATGTTTTTACATTTATGCATTTGGCATGTCTAAATGAACCTTTCGTAAAGTGACTGTGTTCCTATGGATTAAAATCTTGATATTACAAATAACTGAGCATCAAGTACTCACCTTTGTTGGTTCGAGAGTCATGAATCATTAACCATTTACACAAAATGTTTCTGTCTATCTGTTAGAGCTGGGACCAAATTCTTGTCCTTTCTGCCTTTCACAGATACCTTTGAAGGTATTGAAGAAGAGAGGAGAGTGAGCCCCCGAGCCAAACAGCTGGAGCGGCTTCTGGCCAGTAAACTGACAGAGTTCCTCAACTCGGACATTGTCTACTCCCTGAGGCGTGTTCTGCCTGCAGAGATGCAGAGAATTTACGTTGGTCCTGGGAAAGGTTAGAGTCTATAATGCAAAACAGCTGCCCAGTTTGCCTTTGAAATGGCAGATGTTGATGCCTTCTCATCAACTCAATTGTTTATGCACTGAGGCAGTTTGTTCATCATCATCAATGCCTTTCACCCCTGGCAGGGTATAGGCCACATACAAGCTCCTTCCATTTATCTCAATCCTGGGCCATCCTTCCTAGCTCGTTCCAAGTGAGCTTCATCTCTCTCATATCCCTTTCCACACATTTCCTCCATGTCTCTCGTGTCCTACCCCTGCCAGTTTGTTCTCAAATGTGGAATGTTTAGTGTTGTCAAAGTGCAGCTGCTATGTTGTAGAAGGTAGAAGTGCTTAATATGTTGTTTCTTATTGCTGTGCAGGGCATGGTTTTAATTGAGGGGTCTCCAAACATTGGCTCGTATGCCAGATCTGGCCCTCAAGGAAAGTTTTTTTGGCCCACCGCCTTGGAAATTGGAAGAGATTTTTGTACTGTGCACACAGGACTTGGTCACCTAAAGAAATTAATCATTTTTTAAAACTCTACTGTGCAATCTGATTTCATAAACTTATTATTTCTTTGTGTATTTTGTATTCTGTGTATTGATAAGTAAATAATTTGGTTGTCTTTACATTTTATGTATTTAGTGTATTGTATCAAACAAAATAGTTATTTGGGGGCACTCCCAGCCTAGAGGTTAAAGTGTTCACCTCTCATTCAAAGGTCCGGGTTCGAATCCGGGTAGCGACCGAAAAATTTTCTTCTCTAAAATTATCTCCTTTCACCTCCTTTCCTGCTCTCTAGCAATATTCTTTCGTCTGCTTTCATCTCCACCTTGTTCCCCCACACCCTCACCTCCTTTGCCCCCTTCCTCTGGGCTCCTGACTCTTTCTGCAGTCTTTTTGCTGCTACTCCTTGGCTCCTTCTTACAACTGTCTTTCAGCCTCACCACTGATTTTCTGGTAGGAAAGATTTACATTGAGTCTTCTTGGACAAGGGCGAAAAGTCTTTGGAGGTGCCGTGTGCAAGTTGCACATATTAAAGATCCCTTGGTGGTTTAAAATCGATAAGAGTAGGCTTCGGCCACAACCCAAGCAATATTCAAATTTCCTACCAACTGAATATGTTTAATGTGTCCCGCGCGCTCATATGACCTTTTGCAGTTGCGAGCACCGTAAAACGCTTACCAAAAATTTTTTTATTAAGAAATAGTTATCCAGCCCACGCTCTGCATTCTGTCAGTTATCCGACCCTTTTGAAAAAAGTTTTGTGACCTCTGTTTTGATTGGAGATGGGAGGGAGAAAGGATGGGATCGTCTAGCTTTTTATTTTTGTAGACATATACATAGGTGTTTAAACTTCAAGAACTGAGTTTGATAATAGATGGTTGCTCCTAGATCAGTCCTGCAGTAAAGCTAGACCCTGCTGTGTGCAGGACTGTTGAGCTCTGTGTGTCATATAATTCCTGCTCAGATATTTTTGCATTCATCCAGCCTCCTACACTGTACCTTGAAATAGATGCGTTTCATTACTTGTACCATTAATTTATTAATTTATTCTTGCTTTCAGTTCATCATTGTTCTCTTGAGTATGGGTGATGTTTGATTTGTGCTCTACATGTACATTGTATTGGCAAACCCTGTTGCCTAAATTTATCAGAATGGCTGGTTTGTCTCAAAATATAAATATAGAAATATCCTTTTTTGGTTCAGATTTGACATCTGCCTCTGGAAGCAGCAAGTTCATCAAAACAGACGCTTCTCTCCAAGAACACCCCGTGAAGGGTGGCGTGAAAGTGACAGAATACTTAAACTTTAATTGGTGAGAAACCTTATTTTTTTAGTACTGCTTCCTGATGGAATTAATTGAAATCACACTTTGAGACCATAAACTTTCTTCTAATCAAGAACATTTCTGTATGTAAAATTCCTTCAATTTAGGGCTGCTAAACTGAAGAGTTCTGAGTGAGAATTTTTATTAAAGAATAAGAAGTCTAGCGTTGATATCAGTATGTACACTCTCATTTATATGCATGTAATTTTTTGTCTCATTTTTTTAAAGCTAGTTTTTCAAACCCTTTGTTTCTAAATTTCATTCTGAAAATATATCATCAGTTGCATTCTGTTTTTGACATTTACAGATTTAAGTGTGATAATATATGGTAGGTTTTGCAATAGAGAAACTTACATCATCCCACTATGGCGTGATGGTAACGAGAAATAACTGTAGAATTGAAACAAGTGGGCCCTTTTATGCTCCTTCCATCCTCCAAGTCTCATCTGTATCAGTGTTATAGCATCATCTCTATTACAATTATCTGTACATGTTGATTGTGTGTTCTCAGTTTTAAGAAAAGCTATAGAATGAATGCTCCTTACTTTTTGTGCTAAGCTCTTTAAAAGTTTTCATGTACATTTAGATATTATTTTATTGACTTTTTTATATTATAATCATTTCATTATTTATTTTGTTTGACTTATTATGTAACAATGTTTTTGATCAGGAAGTTATGTGCATTATTGTTACTTTGTCTCTTGTCTTTCTGCATTACAAATTATCGTAATTCTATTTCTCTATTTTGTCCGTCTCTTAAGTCTCCTGGATGAATCATCAGCCAGTGTGTGGGGAGAGTTCACTGTCAATATGCAGCGTCACTGGGTGTGTCCGCAGTGCAACCGTTCCATGATCGTCTCTGTACTGGAGAGACTGCAGCATGAAGCGGAGTGTGGCTCCGAGGGGGGTGAAGGTAACTTCAGAATGACGATAGTAATGATAATGATAATAAAAGCAATAGTGGTAATAATGATGGTTAAAATGAATCAGTAAATAAGAATCTGATGCATTTGTAAGGTTTTGTGTAAATTTAGTCGAGTCTGAGGTTCTTATGAAAGCAACAGCTGGCATACTCTAGCATTTTAGATCTATACTGCTGTAGGGATGTCCATCATAAATGTGTCAGATTGCAATGTCATGTTCATGGCAAACAAGCTTATTTGTACCTCCTTTTTTAAAACTTTTTTCTTTACTCTCGAAGTTGAAAGCTGTTTAGTTTTAAAAGAGAAACATTTGATTTTTCTTCATGTTTTAAACTCTTACAGGTCAAGGTCTTTAGTGTATGTTAAAAGACATACTCACTTCTCGTAGATACACAGAAAGAATAAGTGGAGTCAAATTTTTAACATCATTTCAATAGCCTTGAATTCATGGAAGGATGAAGTCTTGATAACATCCATCTGTAGAAAAATCAGATATAAAATTTGCCCTGAGGTATTTGAACATGTTGAGTGTTCGAATTAAAACAGTTTTCGAGAAATGAAAGTAGATGGGCAAGGCAGCTTGGATCATGCTAATAAAATAAATAGATCTGCACTGCCCTCTGCACCAGTTAAGTTTTTAAAATATTATTTTTCATGTTTAAAACAATCTAATTGAAATAGCATGCTTTGGTAACACAATATGAGAATATTTTACAGTATCATTTTTTTCATTGTCAGGTCTCAAACAGCAAGAGGCAGCCGAAAGTGAAAGAGAAAAGCAGAACAGTGGGAATCCTAAGAGGAAAGCTTATTTCTGCCCTGAATGTGAAGAACACCTCAATCTCACTACCATTGAGATACTGAAGCACAGAAAATCTCATATTCCATGAGCTTGTACAACTTAAGGATTTATTTTCTTTCTTTGAGTGTCCTATGGTATGATACTGGTTTTGATTATATGGAGACATATGGGTTTGCAGACAGAATCAGACGAGGCTAAAAAATTCACAGATGTGTATACTGTTTACCCATGAAAAAGGCGATATTTTTGCAGCTAATGATAAGATAAGATCCTTAACTCTTGACAGCTAACTGTATGTACACCCCATAAGCTATGGGAAATTCTGCCGTGTGAAAGACATCACATGTCCCAATCTTTTATCGATAGTTATTCGCATATTATAAAGACAGATCAGTAAAACTTATACCAATAGCAAGATAAATGATTGGAAGAATTTTCCTATTGAAAGACATTCATAGAATCACCTGTAACAAGGTAAACAGCTTGGAAAGTACAAAGACTGAACAAGGACTATGATTCTACTGGTTGACTCTGTCTCGCACAATGTGTGTGTGGAAGACAACAGACCTATGCTCGACTACCTGTCAAACTATATATATAAATAGAAAAATTCAGAGATGGTTTTATGCACAGACAAGACTCGGGGTAAAACAAGCCATAAAGATGTAAACAAGTAAAGAGTAGCCTACCAAGACTAAACTCACATTCCAAGTCATCGTGTCAGCTCTGACACCAAAATAAATATACTTCACTTTGTTTTCGGTTGTAGAACCTGCGCTTCCCGTCAAATAGTCTATACATAGATATGACCTCATAGCTAAAGTGATAAGGTCTATAGATATGTCACTCTTTTTATTCAGAACTTCATAAAAAGTAAAAGATCATCGAAACAAGACTCAGGTTTTAGCAGCCTTATGAGATATGTTTACACTGCACAGGGCGGCGAATTTTCTAGATGTATGAGTTTGTTTTCAGTACAGTCTAGGGGTTAAATTATATAGAGTCGCCTTTGCAGGTACAGGAAGGGTTGATTTTACATATTATGAGTGAAACTCCTCTATTCGTGGATTCTAAAGTCAAGGGGGATAATCGTTAATATTCTGCCTTTGTCTCTTTACTTTGAGTCAATTGAACATCTAAATTGAGTTTTTCATTCAGACTAGGTTTGGAAAAAAAAGAGGATGAAATTTTCCTTGCAATAATACATGTATTTGGCTTGTATGAGACTTAATCATTTCATGAATGTTGTAGAATCTTTTGGTAACTCTACTTACATGTTTAATGAAGGTATTTATAGAAGTAAGGTCCAATGACCAGTGCTGTCTCAGATGAGTGAGAAATTTGATGCACTTAACTTTTCATAGTAATTGTACATAGGTACGTACAGCATGTACATGTTAGTATGCGTGTGTTAGTGTGTGTGTGTGTGTGCATGTGTGAGTGTATGTATGTTTACTTATTTTCATGTATTTATGAGCTTGCACGGAGGTTTTGCAAAAGTGTAGGAATGAAGAATGTGTAAAAACCTAAAGAAGGAAAAGACAGTTTGATGTCGATGATGTTTTTAACAATTATTTTGCTAATGTTGTGCATTACTATAAGCTCATTCTTTATGTTATTGAACCTGAATAAATCTGTTTTTTATGATACAATTGGATCTCTTCATGAGAGCGCTGTGGTTGTTTAATTATATTTTACGTGCTCTGTTCGTTCGACCTTGAGTCCATCACTTTAGTGCTCTGTTTGTTCAGCATCATCATAACCATAATTTTCTCTATTATCTTTTCCTCATCTTTGTAGTTTTTGTCATCCCGGTTATCAAAGGTAGTTGGAGGGTGTCAGTGGTAGGTCCTTCTTTTCTTTTTATCTGTTGTTTCTATCTGTCCATGTTAGTTTTTGTTTGCACTTTAGGGATATTATTGTTGTGTCAATGTCTTTACTCAAAAAAATCCTGTTCATCATCATCATCATCATCATCCATCAACATTGCTACAACCATCATCATCACTAACAGTTTTTGTATAATCTAAATATTTATGTGGTTAGTATGCGGGTGCTCTGGTGTGGTTTGCTTCTTCTTTTGTGTCAAACATCTATCATCCTTATCTCCCCTTCTTTTTTATGTTTGTTGCTCTCTTGTAATTGTAACAGCTCTAATCTTCTGGCTCTCGTATGACCTTATGCAGTTGCGAGCGTTGTATAACCTCTACTAAAACTAAACTAAGATATTTATACAAAGATAATAATTAACCATTGTCAAGTATGCAACAACAGTTAACAAAAAAATGCTAGGAAATGTTTTATGTGGCTGGAGTCTGACAACAGCAAGTTGTTTGACTTGGTATTCTGACTGGAGCATTTATAGTCACAAAGAGAATGATTATTTTGCAGTCACACAGATCCATCTTTAACTTTAACAGAAATAAGGAGAAAGGAAACATTGAGGGTGGTTGGTGGGTGCTCTAGTGTGGTTTGCTTCTTCTTTCCTGTCAAACATCTCGTCCTTATCTTCCCTTCTTCTTTTTTTATCTTTGTTGCAAATGTTCTCTCTTGTAACAGCTCTAATCTTCTGGCGCTCATATGACCTTATGCAGTTGCGAGCGCTGTAAAACCTCTACTAAAACTAAAAGGAAACATTTTATAGAAGAATTTCTATTGCCCCCAGTAGTTGCCACGAATTGGAAGATTTACAGTATATTCACAGTATATTAGAAATATGAAGTATGAATGTTATGGACTCTCCATTGTTTGTGGACTGTGATAAGTTTTGGCCTCTCCTCATTCCGATCATTTGTGCTTCTGTCATTTGTTTATCACTGTCTTTTAAACTTTATTTTCATTTTCCCCTTCAGACTTTGTTTTCTCATATCCTAAACTTCAACGTATCACTAGTGCTCTTTTTCTGCCATCCTATTTGTCTTCTTCCTATTTATATCCTATTTTTGTTCCTCTTTTCTGTGAACATTTTCAAATACACATCCTTTCTTTCATTTACACACTGCGTTCAGTTTCAGTCTAGGTTTTCACCACTTTTGGCTCCTTTGAACACTGTTTTTCTTACAAGTATCTGATACTGTATCTTTCTTGTTTTCCTTTTATCAGTAAAGTAATAAAATGCACCTTCTCTTTTTCCACTCATGAAATAATAGCCCTTTAAAAAAAGAAAAAAGCATCAGCAGTTGGTGAAAAAATCATAATTGTAATTGTATTGCATTGCAACCTCAATTATTGAAAGCATGGGCTCAGTTGGAGCGTCAGGAATGTCTTGCTTGATTATGTCCAATGATTTTCTTTTGGGAGTGTTTTAATTTGCGGACACCAGGAAAGTCTCTCTGTCTCTCTTTATCTCTCCCTCTGTCTCTCCCCCCCCTCTCTCTCTCTCTCTCTCTCTCTCTCTCTCTCTCTCTCTCTCTCTCTCTCTCTCTCTCTCTCTCTGGGGTCTAATGGGAACTTGTTCGCCCTTTACCACACAGCACTTTAGCATCCATAGGTCAGAAGAAGCAGCGCTTCTGCTACAAACGGGTCGAGTTAGATCCTGTTCAAAATGCGGAAATAAGAGAGCTCGCAAAGGCAATTACATTTTTCCCGTTCACATTGCTCCAAATTCCAACGTTAATGTCACACGCGACACTCAATGATTGACAAAAAAGGGAAGTCACCCATAGGAATAGCGAACCAAATTTGATATAAAATACATTTAGTTCCCTTGATAAGAAATTCTGGCATGACAATTTCTGTTCCTCGCCCTGTTTTATCTGCTTTTTCGGCATGAGTGCC